CCCCAACGTCTCAGGAAAAGCCCCTGGACCAGCAAACTTTTAGTGGCAGGAATGGAACTTGAAAAATTATTCAGCTGCAGGCACATTTGCTGCCTGAGCACGTGTCGCCTCCATCTCCCCTCTTGAAATGTGTACTTTCATGTTTTCTTGGAGAAGCCCGGGCTCCCTTTTGAGTTACTCCCTACACTCTACACTCTTTCTCTCCCTCCTTCCCTTCAAAACCTCCAAATAAAAACTGTAACTTCACTAAAAAAATTATTCAGCTGCAAACCCTGAGATCTTTCTGATAATGGAGTACAGAGAGGGTAGAACCAAAACCCCAGATTGCAGAGCTCAGGACCATGGAATATTCCCAGGTCTTGAAAACTTAATCATGGAACTTCCATTTGCTCTGATGGATTTCCAAAATGCTATAGGCTCCTTTGAACTGGAATGTTTGTAGCAGTCATACTGTGCTTGTTCCAACACTGTATGTTAGGGTGTTATGGAAAGAAAACTTGTCACAGATCTACAGGTGGGGCAAACTTTATTTAAGGAGCCATATGCATACACCTGAGGAGTTTGGACTTGGTTTGAGATTGGAATGAGGTGATATTGTACTGGAACAAGACTTTCAGACCTTGGGAAGGGGTGACTGTATCTTGCATGTAGAAGAGATGTCAATCACTGGAGGGTAGGGGATACTATAATTGTCAAGATGGTCCCCAGTGATCTCCACCTCTTGGTATTTGTGCTTCTGTGATTCTCCTCCCCTTGAATATGACCTGGACCCAGTGACAATTACAATATTGCAAATATGATGGAGTATCACTTAAGAGATTGGGTTCTAAGATTGACTTCCACTTTGCACACATGAATTTCTCCTGTCTTCACAACCTCTCATCTCATTTGACTACTTTGTTAAGAGGTCATGTTGTGAGCTGCCCTATGTAAATGTACACGACAAAGAAACTGAGGGACTATTCCCAAAGTAGTATTGCTGGGTCATATGGAAGCTCAATTTCTAAGTTTTTTAGGAATGCCTGTATTGTTTTCCAAAAAGGTCAAATCAGTTGGCATTCCCACCAACAATGAAAAGTCCCTTACTCCCCGCATCCACACCAGCATTATATGCTCTTGTTCGACATGTGCCAGTCTCTGTGGTGTGAGATATCTCAGTTTACACTTCTATGTTCACTGCAGCACTATTTACAATAGCCAGAATCTAGAAACAACCGGCGTGCCCGAGAACAGATGACTGGTTAAACTATGGTACATAATGGAATACTATGCAGCTATTAGGAAAAATCAAGTTATGAAATCACTTATAAATGGATGGATACAGAGAGTATTATGCTGAGCAAAATGAGTCAGAAGGATACAGAATTATTGGACTCATTTGTGGGATATAAAAAACATAATATGAGACTAGTATCCAAGGATAGTAGAAACAAGGGCAAGGAGGACAGGTCCATAATTAGAATCCTGCCTTGAGTGCTGGGGGAGAAGGCAGGTGGGACAGAGAAGATATGACAAAGATAGTTGGAAATGATCACTCTGGATAAGAACTGCATGCTGAAAGTATTGGTAAAGGAAGAAATATGATAATCTCAGTATCTGTATTGCAAACCATAATGCCCAAAAAGGGGGGAGGGAAGAGAAAAGAAAGAGACAGGAGAGAAGGAAAAAGGAAAGGAAAATGCCTGCCACAGAGACAGGCTGGGGGGAGGAAAATTGGGGACGTTGGTGGTAGGAAATGTAAACTGGTGGAGAATGTGTTAAAACACTCTATGGCTGAAACCTGACCATGAAAAGCTTTCTAACGGTGTCTCTCACGGTGATTCAATAAAAAGAAAAAGAAAAAAGAAAGAAACTTGAGGGAAGTATCCTATCAACAGCCTATGAAGAGCTGAGCTCCTTCCCAGTTCAAAAACCTGAAAGGAAATGAATGCTTCCACGAATAGATTTGAAGGTGGATCCTTCTTCAGTCTTCCCCTTTCCAAGGGATGACTGGAGTATTGGCTGTAATAGATCCTGAAATAGAAACCCAGTCTAAGCTGTGCAGATTGTTTGCTTACAGGAATTATGAAATAAATGTCCTTGTCTTAAACTATTGGGTTTCTGAAGTAATTTGTTAGAGCAATACAGAACAAATAATAGGCAAACATGTAGGTTATGTGTAAGCTCAACAGGGAGGTTTTATCTACTAAGGCCAATTTGGCCCTAGTGATGTTGAGTTCCTACCTACCAATAGCAGAGAGTAACATTGAACCCCTTAGGGCAGGCTGATTACTTTGGATTACTTCTGTCAGGCAGCACAGGCCTTATACTCAGAGACTTGGGAAACCCAGCTCTTTCAGGCTGATATGCATGGGCTAGGCTTCTTCTTCAAGGGTTCCCTACATATCTGAAAGGGACTTGTTAATTCCCATATGTAACTCAGTATCCAGGAGCGGTTTCATTGGGGCCAATCTCTACCCTTTTCTGGAATAGATGCTCAAGTGAAGGGGACCTACCTGTCTCTGCCTCACAATCCCTCTTATCCCATCACAATTTCAAAACTTTTGGGAAGCGTGGTCGGTGCTTCCACTTAAGGGCCCAACAATCATGAACCTCAGACCTACTCCCATGAAATAGCACCCTTACAGTGAACTTTATGCCATAAAAAAGGAAAAGAGTTGATATGCAATAGGATTCTTAACTGCTGTTCCTCTCTCCTGAGCTCAGAATGTAGACAGAGGACTCAAGTTCAAGCCCTTTCTTCCCTAGGAAATCCCAGTATGGAGAGTTTGCGGGCAGAAAAGAGAGATTCATTAATCTGAGTCCAGTAGAGGTAGCAGGGAAGAAGGTATGGGCCACTTGGGCCTGAGGGAAGGTGTTAGGGAAAAGTTCCTAGAAATGTTTTCTTCCATTTCCTTGTATTCAAGCGTCATTCTAAGGGATATGAAAAACTCTGGAAGGATACAGTTTTAAGATGGCATCTCTACAACAGAAAATGACAAATAAGAAAGCTATCTCAGCTTCCAGATCCTCTTTCCCCCCATTTCCCATTTATTCGGGTTTCCTCTAAACCATTTACTTCCCCTTTCCAGGGAGTGCTTAGGAAAACCGGACACAGTCAGCAACCAGAGCAAACTCTGAAGGTCAAATTTGATCTGGGTATATTCAGATGGGGACAAGAGCCTCTCCATGGGCTCATAGCACAAATGTTCACCATGATGGGGCAGGGTGGTATCAATAACAATGGGAAAGGCTATCTGAAAATTGTTGAGGGCTGGGTCCTGTATCCTAGACCTAACAATTTTCAAGCCTAGAAGTTAGTTGTACAGATCATAGGTTACCACTTATTTCTCTCACACTTCTGATGGCTGATTGCTTTGGGGCTGGAGACTAATAGTGAGGTATTGGGATTAAGCCCCTTCCTTGCAGCTTTCAGTCTTTTGAGATTGTACCATATAGTTGGGTAGACAAAAGGCCAGCATTTCTCCTGGAACTGGGGTGAAAATGCTGCAAGACAGAGTTGTTCACTGATCTCTGCCTCTTCTTATATAGCCTGATGCCTCCTGAGTAGAAAACTAAAAGAGGCAGAGCTGAACCAGATATTCCTACCAAACCTGCCAGAAGAGGTGGGTTTTCTCACACAACCACTAGCTTCCTAGTAACTAAAAAGCTTAGAAAGTGGACCCAAAGAGCATTTAAAAGAGGGTAGACTGTAGCAGTCTGCTGTGCTCTTCAGCCTTTAAGGAACTCCTTGAAATGAAAGACAATTTCTTCAAAGCCAAACAAGATGGAAGCTGGTAGCTGCCTTAGGGCTTCAACACTCTCCCTCTGCCTATGTATCCATATCTGCTTCATATGGGTAAACTTGAAATACAAAATATCAAGGACCACAAAGAATAGTTCTTAGCTTTTGGAGGGACAAGGTGCCTTTTATGAACTGATGCAAAGTCTTCCAAGATTAAAACACATACCTCCACCCCCACAAAAACATGTAAACAAACTCAGGTACTGGCACCTAATTTAGTCTAAAATGCTCATATGAAAGACATTGGGGTTCAGGTGAAGAAATATGTCTAACATAATACCATTAAAAGTGAACTCAGCTTGAAACCATTATGGTAAGTGAAAGAACACAGTCACAAAGTATTGCATATTCTATGATTTCATTTATATAAAATGTCCAAATAGGTAAATCCATATAAATTAATGATGATCATAGGCTGGGGGACTGGGGAAGGGAGGTGATATCTAAGGAGTATAACTTTTTAGGCAAACTATAAGATACATACATTATACTGCAATAAAGCTTTTTTTTTTTAAAAAATAAGGACATCACACTTGTTGGTGCTATGAATGGGACTAGGAAGGGGCTGCCATGCGTAACAAGAATTGAACTCAGGGTTTTGTACGTGCTAGCATGTGCTCTGCCATTTGAGCTATCTCCCTATGCCCACAACCTCCAAAGAATTTTTAAAAAATAAACTCAGGAGTTGCAAATGCCAACACACCTGAACTTTAGGCCCCATTCATAGGTACAGAAAAGAACCCTTTAGGGTGGAAGAAAATCAGGAAAAAGGTCCCTGGATGTGACATCTAGGTAAGACAGGAAAGCACTCCAAAATGAATGAGATTATACAATATATCTTAAGGGTAATAGAGCATCATGGACAGCTTGAAACAGTGACATTCGATGAGATCTGCACTTTAGAGACAACTGTCTGTATCACTGGATTTATACATTAAAATAGGTAAAATTTTAAGGTGTATAAGTTACACTTCAATAAAAGTAAAAAGGAAATATCCTTCTAGGGGCTTGAGGAGACTGGAGGGCATCAAATTGAGGAGGATGTTGCAGGTTAGGTGGGTAGGGCCTATGTGGGGGCTGGAGTTGGGGGCAGACCCAGGGAGGCTGGGTTAAGGAGAACTGGCAGAACTTGGTTTCGGAACTTGGTTTTGGAACTTGGAGGCACTATTCTCCCCCTTTGAAGAGAAATACACTTCAGAAACAGGTTTCCAAAAAATGTTGCTAAGGGTTTTATTTCTAAGAAGAGGAAAAATAATATAATAAAATTAAAATAGGTTTCAATTGGAACCAAGTTTCTTCTTTTGCTTTTTCTTTTTTGAACAAATTAATTACACACCAACAATCTTCTTTTATTACAACATGAACCCAGGAGGAGGAAAGGATACAGGGTAGGACAGGAAAAGTTGAAGTGGCTGTGAGGACAAGCACCAAAAGCTTTCTTCAGATCATTGGGAGTTGTTAGCTCCCCAACCAAAAGTTTTAAAATAAAAAACTGTAAGCACAGCTATGTGAAATTTCCTCCTCCTGGGTAGACTGATTAAGGGAAGAAGAAAAAGGGAGAAGGTGGTAAAGAGGGGAGGGAGGAGAAAGAGTGAGAGGAGGAGGTGAGGTTAGTGTAGCATGGCCTGGCCAGGGCCAGAACTGGGGAGAGAAGGGAGAGGAGATTCCCCCAGTATACATAAGCACTGGCCTTGTCTCTGGAATGGTGCTGGCCTAGCCCCAGCCAACCCCCTCTGCCCACCTGCCCATCCATCTATCTGCCTCAGGTGTCTGGGAATGCTGGTTAGAGGCTACCAGGAAGGGGAACTCCAGGGGCCGGCCCCCAGGAGCTGAGGTCTGAACAATACCTTGGAGTCAGAATATAAAAGTCAAGGGACTCAGGGTTGGGCTGGGGGTGTGACCACCCCCTCCCACTTGCCCACCTCCCAAGAAGCAGGCTTGATGGTCAGAAAGAGGATCCTTGAGGCCAGCGGGCTCTCTGAAAGGGTCTGTGCTAGGCTCAGCTACTGTCACAACTGTTGCTGAGGTGGCTGCTGTGGGCAGGACACATGCAGCCGGGGAGTCAGAGTGGGAAAAGGGGCCAAAGGATCTGAATTGGCCCCCAGTGCTGGCTCCAAGCTGTTCTTATTCTGGTTCTCCTGCGTGCCAGGGCTGTCAGTGGTGGGGAGGGAAGGGGGCGGAGCCTCACCCCCAGTTTCCTCCTCTAGCTCCTCCTCTTCCTGGGCCTCCTCAACATCTGGCCCTGAGCTCCGTACCCTCTTTGGCTCTAGCTCCTCTCGGGTTGGGTCATCGCCCTCCCCACCCCGATCCACCTTCCGCCGCCGTCGCCTCTCCAGGGCCCGGGCCCGGGTCCGGCTCCCATGGCGCTCTGCCTTCTCCAGCTGTGATCATAGATAGGCAGAAAGAGGTATGGCCAGTGGTTAGACCTGGGCTCCCTGCCTGCGTGGTCTGACCTCCTGGCCCAACCCATGACCACTCTCACCTCCAGAAGTGTGCGAATCCGTTCCAGGTCTGGAGACTGTCCAGCTTGTAATAGCTGCCAGATGCTGTGGTTCTCATCCAGGGTCACCTCTAGCAGGTCCCCCTCCAACATGAGCTCCTCCAGTGGAGCCCGGGTTGCCTCAGGGAGCTCCAACACAGGGCCAGTCAATTGTGGTAACATTGAAGAAAGCAGCTCCAAGTCTGATGGGGGGAGGGGTACAAGTAGGGTGGGTAGTGATGGTGTGCAGAGAGATGATTAGAGGATGCTTCTATATTCCCACCACTAAGACAAACCAAAGACAACTTTGGTGCTATCCAGTTAACAGCTTACCTACACCTAGACCTACCTCTCTTACCTGAGCCCTCCCCCGGGGCTACCTTCTCAGGACTGGTCACACTGTCTCCATTCTCCAGCACCCCCTGGACCTGCTACATAAGGAAAGAATGAGGAGTAGTAACTGAAAAGCTAGGCCCCATTAATCCCCTCAATGCCAAACTTAGGATCCTCCACTTCCTGGGGCAAGCACAGGCTGCTGGCAGGAGCAGTCTAAGGATCTGGACAGGATGCAGAATGGAGGAGGGATGCTAGGTCAAAGTATTCTGAATATCAAAAAGGACAGTCCAAAAGGGGTGGGTGGGAGGGAGAGGGAGAGAAAGAGGGAGGGAGGAGGGAGGGAGAGAGAGAGAGAGAGAGAGAGAGAGAGAGAGAGAGAGAGAAGCAAAGTGCCTGCCACAGAGGCAGGCAGGGGATGGGAGGGAACCTGGGGACACTGGTGCTGGGAAATGTATACTGGTGGAGTTGGGTGTTGGAATACTGTATGACTGAAGTCCAATCATGAACAGCTTTGTAATGGTCTATCTCACAGTAATTCAATAAAAAAGTTTTAAAAAATAAAAACACAAATCAAAACAAAACAAAAAAGCAAGGGCAGGACTGAAGCCTAAACAGGGAAGGGGACCAGGATATAGGAATGTGAGAATAAGAACGGGGCTAGACAGCTCACCTTAGGCCTGTCTTTGCCAATACCTTCTCTGAGAGAGTCAGAGGCAGGGGCAGGCAGGCAGGTAGTGGGCTCCTCAGACTTGGATTCAGCCTGCAGCTGTTGCCGAAGCTCAGTCAGCCGTCCCAAGAGAGCAGTCACATTCTCAGAGGCTAGAACCTGCCTGGCACGGCCTTGCCAATTAATGGCCCTCTCCGTGAGGCACTGTAAGGCTTCACCTTCAGGCAGCCGCACAGGCAGTCTCTGCAGGGCTACTAGCAGTGCTAGAATGGTCTCCAAACGCGGGCGCCGTGAGCGCATGCACAGTGGACACAAGAATTTGGTGTCCCACTCCCACCAAGCCAATAGTGGGGATGAAGTGGAACTGGGCCTTGGGGAGCTGAGGAGGCGAGGGACAGACACACATCGCCCATGGAACCAGTCCTGACACAAGTCACACTGTAGTGCTCCCACCCCAGCTGGCACCTGACCACACACACAAATGGAAGTTGCAGGGGAAGTTGTGGTCGACGATGCCAATGGACTGGGCTTGGCAGAGTTGGTGCGGCGCAGCTGCAGGATACCCTCCTTCTCCTTCTGTTCCCCCTCCTTGAAGGCCACGATCTGCCATGCCCAGGAACAGGGGAAGAATAAGTCAGCATCCCCACCCTTCCCTGTCTGGTACCACTAACACCCCTCTCCCAAACCAGAACTAAGACTCAGGGAACTTAGTTTAAAGACTCAAAAACTCAGTGGTCTGCCCATGGTCACCCGGCTCAGACACTTATCATCGCCTGGCTCTTCTCCCTATCTGGGCCCAAGCTCCTTACCACAGAGCCTGGGTCCCTGAGGTCCTGCGCAGACAGCCCCAGCAGCTCTGTGTCAGATTTGTACAACCCCAGCTCCTTCTCCATCAACCGGCTGCGCTTGGTGCTGTCTGAGCCAGCATCTGCACACGGGCAGAGCACCTGAGGCAGGCAGACAGAGGTGGAATGACCAGGCTTCCCTGCCTCCCACCCCCTCCCCTCCCTTCCACACTGCCCACACCCCCACAGTATCATACAAGCTGTCTCACCACAGCCAGGCGAGGGCCAGGAGAGGTTGTAGGTCAGGGTCCCGGGCCTTACCTCCAGTAGCGTATAGCAAGAATTCTTCTTAAGGAAGGTTTTAGAAGCTTTCTCCCTCCAGGAGTGTGCTGTTAGCACTTGTAGCTCTAGCTGTCTTAGCTCCTCCAAACCCACTGGGAGGTCTCGACCCACAGCCACCAGGCCCTCCAAGTCATCCAAGCAGGGGTAGTGGTCACCATTCTGGGAAAAAGGCAAGAGAAAGTCTAATTCAACCTGCTTATCCCTACTGATTTTACTCTATGTCTGGCCCTGAGCTGCAAAGATGCCTGGACTTATATTCTTAAGGAAAAAAAAACACCCCAATCCAAGATCATCTGAAGGGAAACACTCACCTGGTTCTCTCCCTCAAATCCTTCGTCCACTGACTTAGCTTCCCAGGGAGCAAGTCACCCCCAGGCCCACCAGGTTGATGTGTGTGTAGTCTCTTTTATTCTCCTTGCTTGTGATATTCTTTCCTCCCCTTTCTCAGGTCAATATCACGTTTTCTCATGCTGCTCGCTAATTACATGCTGCCCACTCATCATGTGCCATGCTCCCATCCTCACTCTAATCAACCCAACCTAGCACAAATCATGATTTGTGCCACCTTCCCCTGCAGAATAAAGGTCTGGGCTGAGAGATGACAGGGTTCTCACTTGGATCTCGTCAACATCAGCAATCCAGGCTCGAGCCTTTGCAAGAGCCTCCTTGAGAGCCTGAATTTTGGGCAGGTGAACAGGGATGTTTTCTGCCTCATGGATTATGGCCTCGAGCGTGGCTGGCGGATGCTTCTGCCTAAAGGTAGGGGAAAAAAGAGGGCTCAGTTTGTGATGGTCTGCCTACTACCACATACATCAGCATGAACCCTAGTCCCAAGTAGAGCTGCTACTTGGAACTACTTGCTTAAATTCTGCCTGTGGGTAGTCGTCAGTCCTCGTGTGTTCCAGACTGTATATAAGCAACTCCTGACATAGTCTTTTCTCTTTTCTGGCTTTTGGGACACACTTGATGGTATTCAGGAGACCAAGCAATGCTAGGGTTTGAACCCAGCCTATGCCAATACTTTTGCTTTGTGTGCAAGGTTCAGCCTTCTGGCAGTGCCTACCAGCAACCTGTGGCATTAATCTAGTACCCGAGTTTGTCAGATTTGCCTGTAGCATGGTCTCCTTTGACCAACATGTCTATTGGCTTGTTGGTACTTGTGTTCCTGTTGTGTTCATGTTGGCCCATGGAGTTGTCTTCCATATACCTACATATCTATAGCTTCCCCATAAATCTCTGCTTCTATGATATTAAAAACACATATATGATGTTAAAATTTTTCTAAAGAAAGGGAACAAAAGAAGAGAGGAAAGTCTTGCCCAAAGCCATTCATGAGTATCACTTTTAGCTTCTCTCTGAAGGTTAGGGTGTAACAGGGAATGCAGGAGGCTGGACTTACCTGGCCTCCAGGCAGAGGTGGGCCTTTTCCTCCCAACGTTCAGCAATAGTCAGCAGCTCCTGCAGCTCAGCCTGGGCCTTATCCACAGCAGGGCTCGGAGCCACGCTGGCACCCGCAACCAACAGTCCCCTCATGACAGCCAAGGTGCCCCTTTGAGCTGATGGGGCCAGCGTGCGCTTTACCTCATCCAGCCACCGTGCCTGTTCCACCTGACGTTGAAGCTGCTGTGCCTCAGGCACTTCTACCCCCAGCTGCTGCCCTCTCTCCAACAGGGACTGCAGAAGCCCTGGACTAGAGGGCAGTGAGGCAAGGGCCTCACAGGCCTCAGTCTGGTAGGCCTCAACCTGTTCCAGGATACCCTACAGGGACAAAGGATGAAGAACAAATTCCTCAGGTGGGACCAGTTAAGAGGTACTACAGATACCCTTGCCCCACCTACCTTCTGATCCTCTAGTCTTTTGGGAAAAGAGCCTAACATGACTGGAATCTCTTCCACCAAGCCTTAGGACAGTGGTTCCTAACACTCACCGCCTTCTTAAAAATACTTTGGGAGACTTATTAAGGTGTAGATTCCTGGGTCCTATCCTTAGAAATTCTTAATAGGAATGGGCCAGGAATCTGTTGTATTTATGCCCCTGTAGGAGTCTAAACTATAGCACCAGGAGACCCTCTACCCCGAAATTGCTCTGCTGTGCTTGCCCTTCTCACAAACACCTATGCTCATACTAGTGTCCATTGCCTTCTCCATCCCATTTCCTTTTTATGGGGCGGGGGTTGGATCAAACCCAGTTATGCTAAGAGGCTCTGCAGTCAGGAATTATGCCTGGCGGTGCTCAGCATCCATATGGAATGCTGGGAATTGAACCCGGGTTGGACACATGCAAAGCAAACACCCAACCTGCTGTACTGTTACTACGGCCCCTCTCTATGCCATTTCACTGACTGAATGTGACTCAGTTTTCCAGGCTCACAAAACTTGCTCCTTCCATCTCCTCTTCCACCTCCACCGGGAAACATTCTCTGACTCTGCAGCCTGTACTCATACCCTTGCCAGCTATCCCCTTCCTCCAATTCTATTTCTAAAAGACACTCACTAGACCTTTGCCTCCTATCTCTCATCTTCTTCCCACTCCATCCCCGCCCCAAAATATGCATCCTGTCTCACTCAAATACTTGAAGCTTTTAAGGGAGCCAACAGTGTCCTGCCGCTCAGAGTTCTGCAATTCCCCTGATCCCTCAAAAGCACTCAAGTCCACCCATTCTCACCTTGACATCCCCAATCTGGTGCATGGCACAAGGAAGGTTGTTCATCTGGTCCAAAAAAGCCCGGAGCTCATCCAGGGTCATCTGTAGACCAGCTATCCTGTGGGGACTATGGGAATTTCACAAGTGGGGTTTCAAGTTCATATCCAGTACCCTCCCTACAGCTCTCTGCTCAGACCCAATACCTTTCCTCCAACCTAACTTGACCTCTTAAAATAAACAGTTTCCCCCAGGAAAAACCACCCAGATTAGAGGAAAGGTCTTAATAACAGAACCTTATTTGTGACAAGAAGAATCAGAAGGACCACTTGATATGTGCAGGAGATGAAATTTAGAAACCAGGGCCAAGAAAAGACAGAATTCTTGGTCTATCCTCTACTATGAACTTTAAAGCTATCAGGTTAATACATAGCTTCCTCCCCGCCCACAAACTCTCTCTGCATATTTGGAATTCCCTCTAGGTACCAATGAAATAAAATATTTGTTGTTTTCACGGCACTGAGGGTCTCCTCTATATTGTAACTGCCTGGTCTCTCTCCCTTCTGAATGCTTCCCAAGGCCACCTCACAAAGCAGTGCTTATCCACTTCCTACTGATGTCCAGTCTGTTCCATGATACTTAAGAATCCATCCTTTGCAGAACTTCTCCTAGACATTGGATTCTCAGTAGGCTATTTTTACCCAACACCTCATGCTACCATACCCAGCTTCCTGGCCGCTGACAAGTCCTAGAGCCCGGGACACACAAGCTTCTGCCTCACTCAAGCAGTTCTTCAATCGCTGTAGCAGCTCACTGTTAGGGAATCTCCTCTCACGGGCCTCAGACTCAAGTGCCCTCAGTTCTTCAAGGCCTGGAGAAAGAACAGAGTAGTAAGGAGCAAACAGTATTGAGTAAAGACAAAAGAAGAGGGTGAGGGTCTGTAAGATAAGGGAGTAGAACTTGCCTGTGGAGTCCCTCCATCCCCCCATCACTCACTGCGCTTCCGCCCATCTTCCACCTCCAGGGCCACTCGCACTTTGTTGGCCCAGGTGTCAAAGGATTCGGCCCGAACCTTCAGCTTATGAAGCATGGCAGGAAGTTCATCCAAGGTATACCGATACCTGGGGAAAGAAGGCAAGCAGGAGCACATCTAGTCCAGCTCTAGTACCTTACTCCTTGACCCTACTCCTCCAGGTTAACCCTCTGCTCACCGCAGGTACTGTCGGCTACTGGAGCACTTGCAGAGGTCATTGATGTGGGAAAGGCAAACAAGGCCATCTGGACAGTCATAGCAGGCCAAGGCAGATAGGAAGCATGTGGTCTTACACTTGATGCACTGACGCTCATCATCAGGAAGCAGTTCAAAAGCCTCTCGCTCAGCTTCTGTGATACCCTGGGGGCATACCAACACATGCATATTACAGTCTCAATTTACAAGAATCTGACTTATAATTGTCCAATTTTTTACATAATTGCCCAGTTTTCCAGTGCTACTTTACAAACACAGTATAAACTGAGTAGAGACCATACACTGTGACTTTTGATCTTTTCCTGGGCAAACATTTTATGGTATGGTTCTGGGGAGTGGCAGTGAGCAACAGTTTAGTAAACCATGTCATGTAATTTTAATAAATTATGAGATAAATTTAACACTATTATAAAGATGGCTTTGTTAGGTTATCCTGCCAATTGTAGGCTACTATTAAGTGTTCTCATCCTGTTTAAGGCAGCGTAGACTAAGCAATTATGTTTGATAAATTAGTTAAATTAACTGCATTTTTGACTTTGGTTTATTGAGATGTAACACTATTGTAAGTAAAGATCTATATATAGAACCAGAACAAGGCCAGAGAAACCCTAATCTCAGCCACCATTAAGCCCCACTCCACTTGAGAATCAAATCTATATGGAGAGCTGTGGGGAAACCAAACTCCAATGAATACACTGCCTCTAAAAACTTCACACTTGTATTGGAAAAAACAGTACAACAGGCAAGGCACTTGCCTTGCAAGCAGTTGACCTGGGTTTGATGCCTGGCATCCCATGACCACTGCCAGGAGTGATTCCTGAGTGTAGAGTCAGGTATAATCCTTGAATATTGCCAGGTTTGGGTCAAAAACAAACAAAAAGAAAAAAGCGTCATATTCTAGGGGCCAGAGCAACAGTACAGCAGGTAGGGTATTTTGTCTTGCATGGGACCATCCTGAGTTCAATCCTGGGCACGATAAAAGGTCCCGAGCACCACCAGAAATGATCTCTGAGCACAGAGCCAGGAGTAAGCCCTGACTACCTCCAGGTATGTTCCCCAAAATAAAAACTTCAGCCCCTCTAAAGTGGAGGAATCATAAACCTAAAGGAACAAAAGGAAGAAAGAATCAGGTAAAATAGCTGAATGGGCTGTTTGGCTAAGAGAAGGTAAGGAAAGTGGTGGACCAAGGCACCAAAAAAGACACTAAAATATGGGAATGGCAAGTGAAAGGTCTAGTACTGGAGAAGAACAATGACTTCTAGTGATTTAGTATCCACTGTATTCTATGCATCAAGACAGCTGCTTAGCAGGAAGACATACTGTACCACCTATATAACTTACAGAAATACAACTCTGAATGCTTGTAACCAGTATTTAATGATACATTTTCTATTTCAATAGTATGGCTTCCAAACCTAAGCTGAGACTTTATCTGCTTAATCTGCAAAAAAATGCAGGGAAAGCCAGTACACTGGAATAACTGAAAAACAATCAATGCTTTACATTGTAACAAATTTTACAATCTTATTATCTTGGGAGACTTGGTGGCCCTAATAGGTGGTGCTCAGGGATCACACCCAGTGGTATTCAGGGATCATATAGTGGTGAAGAGTGAAGATTAAACCAAGGTTGGCTATATGATCTCTTCAACTCAAATTTTAGGATTTTAAGGGGACATTTTGAGTAGAACAATTGTTGTCTTCTATACTGACTTTAATAGCTAATACCGCACATGATATGGCTGCATTGTACTTTACAAATCTCAATGACACATCATAGTTATTTGGTCTTGAGTAAACGATTTAAACCTCTGTGCATCAGGCCAGAGCAATAGTATAGCAGACTGAGTATCTGCTGTATATTCAGTGGATGGCGTTCAACCTTCACCTCCCCATATGATCCCAAGCCCTGCCCAGAGTAATCCCGGAGTACAGAGCCAGGAGTGAGCTCTGAGCTGGCTACTGCATGCATGCATGCACACAGGCAGACACACACACACACACACACACACACACACACACACACACACCAACCGCCCCGAAATTACTAATTTCAGTTCCCAGATCTTGTAAAATGGAGTTAAAGTACCATCTGCATCTGACTGTCATGAGGATTAATACTGATAAAGCAACTAATAAAGGGACTCATAAATGTATCTTATAAATCAGAATAAGTAGAATCATAAAAATACCCTGAGAAAGAAGAATAAAGCTGAACATTACATATCTTAATTTCAAACTATACTACACATAGGCCAATGGAACAAAATCAAGTCTAGAAAGAAACCCTCACAAATAGTCAACCAACACTATATAAGGTATTAAAGAGGACTCAGAGGAAAGGATAATCTTTTCAACAAATGTTGGCAAAAAAACTAGATGATAACATACAGAAGAATAAAATTGACCCCTTTCTTATACTGCTTATGAAAGAGTAATTTGGAAATGAATTAAAAACTTAAACCTAAGACCTAAAACATTAAAATTTCTAGAATAAAACATAGGGAAAAAACTCTTTAACAGTGGTCTTGGCAATGTGTTTTGGGATGACACCAAAAGCAAGAGCAACAATAGCAAAAAATAAGTGACACTACAGAAAAATAAAAGTATCTAGAGAACAAAGAACAAAGAACAAAACGAAAAAAGCAACCTATCAAATCTGAGAAAGCATCTGCAAATTATCTGCAAATTATCTTAACTATTAAATGGTTAACAAAATAAGTAAACTAGAATAAACCCTAAAGCAAAAAAAAGTAACGGAAGATCTAAGTGAAAATGAAAAAATGGCCCAGGAACCTGAACATACAAGAAAATGACCAATATGGACATGAAGAGATGTTTAACATCACCATCATCATCAGGGTCTGGTCGCACAAGATTTATCACACCAGTTCTTAACTTGACCAAATCAAGGTCACAATGAGGTTATCACCTCATCCCCAGTGGAATGGCTATCACCAAAAAGACATACAAGAGTGAGGAAAATAGTTTAAAAGCCTTGTACACAGAAGCCCCAAGTTTGATCCTAGCACTGCATGGTCGCTCAAGCAACTCTGCATGTGACTCTGGTGAGTACCAAGCATCAAACCTTCAGGCCCTACACAGCCAGGTCAAGTATGGCTGGGACCACTCCTCAGTACTGCTTGGGAGACCAAAAGAACATTAAGTTCAATAAATATTTACTATTATCAGTTTTTATTTTCAGGTAAGGATACCATCGTACAGATACCCATTTTACTAAGGAGTAAACTAAATCTCAGAGAGAGTACAATAATTTACCCAAGAATTTGACTGCAGTCAATTTTAACTCAAAAGCCAGAGATGTTCTAAGCTTAGATAAAACCCCTTAATATTTTTGATCATGTAATCCTCTGACAATAGGATACAAACAATAAGCCCTCTCCTCAGAAAAGATGTCATATCACATTTTATAGATATTTAAGTCTAAAGATACATGATTGTCAAGATGAGAAAATTGAGTCTTCCTATCTTGCACTGATTTCTTCTGGTAATCTCGCATAGCCCAGGGACATCAGTTAACAGCAACATGAACAGAGAGGCAAAATAAAGCTAGGGAGAGCCCAAGGGCTGGCTCATAAACTCACAGCACAGACTGACAGCTCCCATATTTCTACACTTACTGCAGCTGCAACTTAGCCCCATTATCAGAAGTATACTAAATAGGTAGTAAAAAATCGCTCAAAATCAGCATTCCTTTGCAACCACAGGAAGACACCAAGTTAATTCACTAATTAGGTAGTATGGTGCTTTAAGAAAGCAATCAGGTAGTTCACTCATCGACACATACAACTGACATATATGAGAAATCTCTAAGAGAACTACTTGGTAAAACTATTTTAGTAGTCTGAGCTACTGCACCATCTGAATGTAATCAAATAAAAGTTCCCAAGAAATAGCTCATATTTCAATTTTTCTTCCGTCATTTATTAGTATTACCAATAATAATAGCTCCTATACTACAAGTACAGTGATCAATATTATTCAAATTTTACAATCAACTTCCAGTTAGGCATTATTCTCACTTATAAAGAGATAGTACAGTAGGTAGGGCGCTTACCTTGCATATGGCTGACCCAGGTTTGATCCCCAGCATCCCATATGGTCCCCTGAGCCCTGTTAGGAATGATCCCTGAGTGCCGAGCCAGGAGTAAGCCCTGAGCACTACTAGGTGTGCCATATACACCCCCATCCCCCCAAAAAGTGAGAAAGTGAGGCCATGAAATTTCCAAGTTTTTCAGCTATTCAGCACTGGGAGGTTTTATATGCTGGTTTGTCTTATTGGTTTATTTAATGATGAGTAATATAATACTTCCTATGAGGCAGTTACTTAACAAACACCTTAAAACCATAAACATAAACCATATGCTCAGTGTAGTAAATTAACAAGAATGGAACACGGTTTCCAATACAGTGTGTCCAGCTCTTTTCACCATACTCCAAGATTAGAGGCTCCATATTCCAGTTCTTGGCAACACTTATACTTTCCCAACCTCTGGCAATTTAGGGTACCTAATGCAGATACCTTCCTCACCACCCACCTTTTCCAGCAAGGCTTTTCGTAGACGCCGCTCTTCCTGCACCATGATGAACATCTCCTTATGCACAGCTGCTGCCAGGTTCAGGTCTAGCTTCTCAGGGCAGGCAGCCATCTTGCAAATGAGTTCCTCATGGGAAAAGACACAATATCTCCGCAATCGACGGTAGTGCTCAATGCACTGGCGCCCAGCTGGCAACTGTAGACAGATTCAAAGCTGAATGTGGTCAAGTCTGGAGCACACTCAGCTTCCCAGGACCTGGTGCTTTTCCCGGCCAGTCTAACATACAAACTCTAAACTTACCCAGTCTGCAGTGCAAAAGTTGACAGCCTCAGCAAAGTTGTAGCCTTGGTTGAAGCCACTATGGTAAGCCCGGGGAAAGGTTATGACAAATTCTCCTGCACACTGGTTTGTACGAACAACCTGAGAAAGGAAAGGTAACTGAGAGATTTTCCACAGTCTATAAAACTGGATCTAAGTTCAGAGTCCTCAAAGGAGTCAAAGAAAAGTCTCAGAGAACACCAATTCCCAGACCTTCCACTCTGAAAATAATCACTGGTCCCTAGACACAATCCCCGAGCCACTCCTAGAAATGCTCTCACTCTTTGCCTAAAAGAAAAAGGTCTAGTCACTAGCATTTGTAGAGCCAAATAGAGAAAGAGGGATGGGAACCACAGCATGTATACAATGATGAATCCAATTTTCTCTGAACCTTCCCCACGCAACTGCATCTAGAAAACCTCATTACAAAGAGTTTCTATGTTAAATTAAAAAAAAACCCTCTAGTCTATCTGCTAGAATGAGGGTCATATTTACAGTTGTCCACAAACAGAAGGGGGCTTCATGGCTTCTTACACAATCATAAACTATCCTTATATTTAATTCATTCACACTTATTTCCAAAATGTCTAGTGTTACCAACTACCAAACCTTCAGAAGTTTCTAGAGTATAAACCATGCTAGTTCTCCAGTATAGGTTTAAGATTCTGTTAAAATCTTTTAGTTTCAAGAATTTTGCTTATCACTGTATTATCTTGTTTTTCTACTCACCTGGCTTTTGTTTTGGGGCCACACCCAGTGGTGCTCAGGGTTTAATCCTGGCTCTTCACTGGATCAATCCTGGAGTGGCTCGGGGATTGAACTTGGGTTAGCTGCATGCAAAGCAAGTGCCTTTTTCTTTGTACTATTGCTCTGGCCCCCTCTCGTAATTTTATTTTAAAAATATCTGTGCTGCCAATTCAGCAGTGTTTCAGTAAGGAAATAGTCTTTTTACCATTTTTGTAGCACAGCGGGTAGGGCGTTTGCCTTGCATGCGGCCGACCCAGGTTCAATTCCTCTGGCCCTCTCGGAGAGCCCGGCAAGCTACTGAGAGTATCCTGCCCACATGGCAGAGCCTGGCAAGCTCCCCGTGGAGTATTTGATAGGCAAAAAAGTAACAAGTCTCACAATGGAGACATTACTGGTGCCCACTCGAGCAAATCGATGAATAACGGGAGTACAGTGCTACAGTGCTATCTAATAACAGTCAATGATGTTGTTAGACAATAAAATAGACAATAAATATGTACAGTACTGGCAAAGAAGCCAATAATTTCTACTCTCTGGAAAACAAAACTGCTAATTCACTTTAAGAACCTAAAATGTTTTAAACTCTTCAATAATTCCTCCGCTAGCATAATGTGAATTAACATCCTAACAATACTGAATCTGCCTAATCATGCACATACCTCCATTTATTTAGGTCATGTATCATTTCCCACCTCCAGGAAGTGTTCTCATATTGATCACCACTTAAAGACAACATCAGCATTTCTTCCCTGTAAGAAACTGCACTGGCCCCTAATACCAACCACAAATAATGTGTTCCAAAAAATAAGTATCTGAATCTGTCATTTTTTTTGAGAACCTCCTACTTCATTCTCCAACTCCACGTGACAAAATTAGGGGCCATAATAACCAATTCTTACTTTTCCATTAAGGTCTGCCATTTATAGAAATCCTTTCCAGTGGTCCCCTTCTTAAATGACTAAGGGTGGTCTTTCGTAACATTTATTAGACTTGTGTAGTCATTTCTGTCCTCTATTAAACTGTGAATTATGAAAGCAAAAGGACCTATTTATGTACCTTCAGGTTGTTGGTCTTTATAGATAGGGAGTTTTATTAGTATGTAATATTGTAAATGTGAAAATCAAGACTGCAATAACAACCTTTTAATATTTACTAAATGATCTAGCACCAGCCCATGTATTTTACAGATTTGAAAACAGAGTCCCACAAATCTCAAGGAGCACAGTCAAAAGTAGAACTTACAGGAGTGATAGCACAGCGGGTAGGGCGGGTAGGGCGTTTGCCATGCACGCGGCCTGACCCGGGTTCGATTCCCAGAATCCCATATGGTCCCCTGAGCACCGCCAGGAGTTATTCCTGAGTGCATGAACCAGGAATAACCCCTGTGCATCACTGGGTGTACCCAAAAAGCAAAAAAAAAAAAAAAAGAAGAACTTACGCTTCTGGCCCTTTGTCTCAACGTGTACCACCTCATTTTGTCAATGTCACTTGTGTTTTCTACAGTTATTTAGAAAACCTTTCTTCACATTCTGCAGCTGTTAAAACTGATCTATATGTTCATTTTATTATCAATTAGTAAGTGGAAAAACAAAATGTGGTATAGTCATACAATGGGATAGTAATTCTCCATAAAGAGAAATGAGCTTCTAACAATATGCTACATGGATAAATCTTGAAAAGATCATGCTAACTGAAAGACACAAAAGACCACATTATCCCATTCATTTTAACTGTCCAGAAAAGGCAAAAACAGAAAGCAGATTACATTTGCCTGAAATGAAAAGTTAGAAAGGAGACTGACTACATAGGGCATGAGGGATCTTCTAGGGGTGAGTCTAAAGCTGGACTGTAATGATGATAACTTTGTAAATTCATTGAACTGTGAATTCACAGTATGAATTTTACAGTATGTATATCATACTGCAGTAAAAATACACTTACAGTTTGTAGTAAAGAAGCAAAAATTAGAGCCGAAGGAACAATACAGATGATAAGACCTTTCCTGTGGCCAACTGGATTTTCAATTCCTGGCATTGCATATGGACACCTAAGCCTCACCAGGAATCACCAAAGCACAGAGCCAGGAGTAGGCCCTGAACACAGCTAGTTGTGGCCCAAAAAATTAAAAAAAAAATAAAGCAAAAATCATCTACACAAGCCAGTTACATACGTACTTTTACATTTTAAAAGTATCACCATTATATAAAAAGTAGAAACAGGTACAATTAATTTCAGTGTATTTGCATTTGGGCTGGAGCAATAGCATAGCGGGTAGGGTGTTTGCCTTACACATGGCCAACCGGGGTTCAATTCCTCTGCCCCTCTCAGAGAGCCTGGCAAGCTACTGAGAGTATTCCGCCAGCATGGCAAAGCCTGGCAAGCTACCGTGACGTACTGGATATGCCAAAAACAGAAACAAGTCTCACAATGGAGACGTTACTGGTGCTTGCTCGAACAAATCGATTAACAACGAGGAGGACAGTATTTGAATTTAATGTATCAATACTATTTCAATGTGCAATTAGTAAGTATATAAAAGAATTAGTGAGATAATTTAATATCTTTTATTTCATAATAAATCTTGAAATAGACATGTGTTTTATACATTCTGTACATTTCAGTTGGAATTAGCTGTGTTTCACGTGATCAGCACACACTATCATCAGAAAGGATAATGTTATACTAGGCCACGGTTTTTTAAACGTTTTCTATTCAAGACTCCTCTTCCCCCGTGAATTTTTACATGACATCTAGATACAAACCGTTTACTGATAACAGAATATAAAACTTTGTGGCTAGAGCTGTATTACAGCAGGTAGGGCACTTGCCTTATACACGGCTAACGGGGACTCGATCCCCAGCATTTCATATGGTTACCCCAGCACCACCAGGAGTTAATTCCTGAGTGCAGAACCAGGAGTAACCTCTGCGCATTGCTGAATGTGGCCCCCTCAACAAACAAAAACATAAAAATTAATTTAAGAAAAATGATAGTTTAAAATAATGGCAAACCCCTGGCTCTCGATTATAGAAATGAAAATGCCAAGGAATGAGGCAAACTGACAATAACATAAAGATCAAGAGTCTTGGACATTTCGGTGATTTAGAGGTGAGGTAACTAGGCATCAAAACCACGAGTCAACACTAGTTAAGTATATGACCCTAACTACAATAATTTTTCTTCTAATGAGTTTGCTAAGGCAGCTAGGTGGGGAGAGGAAGGAAACCTTAGGTCATCAGTGGAGGGACGCTGACACTGGCTTGGATGAAGTTGAAACACTAAACGCTGGGATCTCTCTGTTAGAAATAGTTTTATAAATTTTTTTTAAAGAATTACAGGGGTTGGGGGTGGGGAGAAGGACAGCTCACAATCCCCACATTTAGTTATGTGATTTCATATGGGGTTACAACCCACAGTTTAAGAGGTTAGGCTCTAGACCATAGGGGTTCCAAAACTTATTTGGGTTAAGGCTCCCTTTTCCAAAACAAAGAAACTTAGTGCATCTTCCACACTCAAACTACCTTCCTTAAGAAAACATAAAGTGCCCTGGCCCCAACTCCAATTGCATCTTCAGCTACCATAGTTCCTCTGTATCATGCAGTGATAGCCCTGGAGGGGGCAGGGAATAGGCATCACTTTGGGAAAGACTGCTCTAGGTCAGAATTTCTTAAATTGTGAATCACAGTCCCACATACTCTATGTGGGGGCTTCAGAAATTTTTGTCAAAAATAAAATGTTTCTGAATGTGTAACAACCAACATTTAATTTAAAAATCAAAAACATAATAGGTGTTCCTGGAACTGCTTGCACAGTTGCCTTTCTTAGGCAAAAAATAGTGAAAAGAAAAAGTTTAAGTAGCCCAGCGGGTAGGGTGTTTGCCTTGCACGCGGCCAACCCAGGTTCGATTCCCAGCATCCCATATTGTCCCCCGAGTACCACAGGGGTGATTCCTGAGTGCAGAGCCAGGAGTAACTCCTGTGCATCGCTGGGTGTGACCCAAAAAGCAAAAAAAAAAAAAAAGAGAGAGTACTGAAAAGAAAAAGGTCATCTCCCACAAAAATGAAAGGGGGAGGAGCTAACGATAGCCCTAAGGGACCTCTAACTGGCTGAACTGTTGCTGATAAAATGAAACACCTCTCCCATGTCCCCCAAAGCCTTAGACGGAAGGCATTTAAAGGCACTGAAGGACTATGCCAAATCCAGGAGGTAGGAAACAGCAATTAGCCAGAGAAGCTGGTGAGTCATAAACAAGAAAAAATGCGGTGGAAGTGGAAGCACTGGGACCAGAGAGCTACTCAATGCAGGAAGCCTGGATTCTATCCCTGGCATGCCTTAGGCCCTGAACACCACCAGGAGTCACCATACCCAGGCCAGGAATAATACCTGAGCAACACCAGGGATGGCCTTAAAACAAGTCTGTAATACAGGAACTTGGGAAACAACTCAGTGGTCTGGCACCCAAGTTCAAACCCTGGTTGGGGTGACCCTGATATTACCTGGCAGGCATCACAGATCCCAAGTAGCTCTGCATCCTCAGGCCCAAACAGTGAACAGACCTACCTCATTGACCAAGTAATGTTGACAGTCCCCTTTGGGCTCCATGAGCACTGCCTGGGAGCTGCATTCTACCCCCACAAAAAGCAAATAAAATGAACGTTTAAAAATAAATGTCTTTAAAAAATAAAAAGGACTAAAGAGAGAATTCTTTTTCTACTATTAAAAAATTTCCTTAACATTACTGGCAAAGACTGACACTGTGCTCTGGGTCAGGAAGGAAAAAGGGAATCCAAGGGAAGGTCAGACCCAACATTTATTTGTAAAAAGCAGAACTGGAAAGGCCCTTTTTCTTCCTAATATCTGGAGTTGAGTTCAGTAATTCTTAAATAGAGTTGGGTGGAAGTAAAATGATATTCTTCCCCATCCAAAGTGGAGGACAGTTGACTGAACTATTGAGGATGCTTCCTCTAATTCCCTAAGTAGTTCAATTCTTGGTTAAATATCATTAAATATATAATTAAAATGCAAAAATATTAAAGTGTGTAGTATATCAAAATAAAGTGAAGGTAGAACCAAAAAGAGAGAACCCATAACCTTGTTAAATAGACACTGTACAAGGATCTCTCAAGGAGATAATAATTCCTGAATGCCTACCATGTATGGAACTAAATGGCAGGGAAAACAACAGCAGGTGAGTGAAAGTGAATGGAGAGGAGTAGGACAAAATAAGAATTAAAACAGAGATGGAGGATGTACTAATACCTCTTCCTTCAGTATTAAACATGAGATTTTAAGATGCACACCTAAAATTTGGTTGGTGCTTATCATTGCAAGAAATTTCCAGTAAATATGAAGTCCCTTATAGATAAGCCAGGTTGAATATTCAGTATTTTAGCAGGGGATAGGAGCAACAGTAGAATGGATGGGTGCTTGCAATGCAGGAAGGCAATTGCGTTCGATTCCTTGAAGCCCATATCGTTCTCTGTGTACTGTCAGGAGTGATTTCTGAACATCGCAAGGTGTGGCCCAAAAACAAACAAAAATTTTTACTGGGTATGAGAAAACTCCACAGGAAGGATAACTCAAGACTGTGGGGTCAACTTTTTTTTCAGTTTACCTTTCTTTGAGATATCCATGTGCACATACCCACACCCATCTAAATGTACTACTTAATATAGTATACTTTATATGTAAAAAACTTTATATGTAAAAAACAGATTACCATCAAAGAATTTTTGACTTGTTAAATAAGCAAAAAGACCTCACTGCTCTAGGAAGGGTTATAACTTGAAAAGTATGGCAGAGTCTGATAACTGTCTATTAGTATTCATTTTCAATTCTTTCATACCTCTAATTTACAGTGAACATATCCAGAATAAGAATCACATTTCTCAGTTTTCCTTATAAATGTGGTCATGTGTAGTCATGTAGCTATGGATGAATGGAAATGATGTGTCTTGCCCTCTCCATACCAATTTCCCTCTGCTACGTGAAATGCAGAGAGGATGCCATCCCTCATGTGCTTCCCTTTAAACACAAGGTACAGAGGGTTTACCATCACACTGTGTATCCATCTAGCCACTATTATCTTGTGCATCTATTCTGTTCTTAGTCCAACCAAGAATAGGAATGAGAAAGGGAACAGGGATGGATTCCAGATGAAAACCAGCACCACAGATATATCATTTCTACCCATTTCCACTTTCTGGACACTCACCGGCACACCATGAGACATGAGGGTGTTTGGATTCATGAGGGTGACAAGTTGGTGCAGAAGGTCAGGCTGGCTATCAAAGAGTTCAGGTGTCAGTTTCTTCATCACCTCTTCTAAATGTTCTGCTGCAAGTGAGGGTACCCCATACCAGGTCTTCGGCTCACCCCTATCCATGTGAAAAGGGGACAGAGATATTGGTCACTACCCACTGTCTTCAGAAAGCCCACCCTGACTGCCTCCCTGGCTCCCCAGGGACCCAGCTCACCAGTGGAGGTAGTTAATGGAGTAACTCCAGTGATCCTCAATATGCCAGCAAAAGGCTGAGAAGACCATGCCCACATAAAGCCAGGGTACCTTCATGCCAGAGATATCTGCATTGATGTGGCACAGTACGGACTGCTCCAACACTGGCATCACATTCAGGTTCCAACCACTGGTTGCATATTCCTGTCAGGTCAGGTCAACCCTTAGCATAAGTAGTCTAGGGAACCTTAATTTTGAGCTCTCATCCAAGAAACACAGGCAGATCTTCCTTTTCCACCACACACAGAAAATCTCAACTGAATTTCTGGGTGATTTATAGTTACATGCACCCACCACAACTCCTGCAAATATAAAGCCTGGCTGTGAAACAAACATAGCCTTCCTATGAAGTAGGCCTGGATCCTCTATTGCTTCCTACACATACAATAGATCATTCTATTTCATTCTTATAACAATCTTGCAAGGTAGACACAATCCCTATTTTACAGACAAGGAAACAGCCAGTCTCGTGGTTGGATACACCAAGCCAAACAATTGGCTATGTTCTTAAATATTTCATCTCATCTAAATCTCATAGCAACCATGTAATATAGGTCCAAGTATCCCCATATCCAACAGATTTTGAGTCTTTTACATACTAAATGACTTTCCATGAATCACACTGCTGACAAAACACAAATTATCCACTTACCTCTTCCTCAGGGGTTAGGTGCCTCTTACTGTCGCTGACAGGAAAACCACTCCCAAATTCTTTGGAATGGATGTCAGCCCCATACTCAACGGTCACATCTTCCTCAATGCTATTCACCAGTCGCCAGAATTCCTTCTCCACCAGTTCTGTGGGCACCATCTAGGGAACAAGGGTATCAAATGAACAGGTTCATTATTTCTTGGCTTCCTTGACCAAGGAAAGTTGAGACCATTCAGCACCAACCCTAGCCTCCATCACCTACATGTACAGGCATGTTGAAGTAATCAGCTTTAAAGGAGTCAGCCATCTCACCAAAGCTCTGAAGAGTGTATTCCCGGGTAGCCTGCTCAAAGCCAAAGGCTTCAGGAGGGCGCTTACACTCCTGAAACACAAAGGAAGTGTCACCAAGGTAGAGGTAATAGGTGAAGAATCCTGAGATGGAATACAGGATAGGGAGAGAGAGAAGAAAGCTCAAGGTCTGCACTCAAGGCCACAAAGCCTACATTCTAGCTCCAACTTTTCCTACTGCTGCTTCAGCTGGTTTAGTATTTCCCACAGGCATTTCTCTTCCTTTAGGATTACTATCTATACCCACTGACTGACTTAAATATATCATATGCTTTTCTTCCACCATTTTTATCTCAAGCTAAAATTTCAGTGCTTGGGAAAACTCCTTTATGCTCAGACTTAAAACTATATGCTTTCGACAATGGCAATGAACATCTGAGTTACCTTGAATGATGGGAAATGAATCACCTACTTACAGTCTCAAGCCATGCACTACTGCTGTTCTTTAAACTACTTCCTAAGACATGATTCTGCCTTACTTTGTGCCTACATTAATGGCTTCAGATTAAATCTGTATTTAGCCCAGTAGTAGGCTTCACTGCCTATGAAACTATTGGTACCCGAATCCTCCCCAATCTAATTTCCACCACTATCAGGGCATTGCCCTTTTCTCTTTCCTCATCTGTATGTGCATGTGCATGTACACACCTGTTTTTTGCTTGAAATTTGCTTATTTTTATAAAGGAAGATAAAATTCACAAAGAAATAGTGGTATACACCTGTTCTTAATAACCATCCAAGAACATATATATCTCCTGTTAAGAAATCCAGAGAGAATGTGAATGAGCACCAAAATTCAGGTGAAAGTAGGACGTTCATGAAATGGACCTAGCAGATTTCCCAGGTCTCTTAGCCCTCATTAATGCTTCAGCAGCTCTCCTTACTGTCCTTAATCTAGGGACAGTCTCCCTTTGTTTTCAAACTCCCTTTGGGTATACCTTTACTCTTGTATTCCTCCTTGCCCCAGTGTGTAAATGTTTGCCCACAATGGACTATAAAGTCTACATCTTTACAAACCAATTTATTACAAAAGAAGGACAACAACTTAACATTACACCCATTACATCCATATGATGGAAAACCTACATTAAAAATATACCATGTCCGTGAAAAAGAAAATAATTATGAAGAAACAAAAATATACAAGGTCCCACATTAAAGATAATTTTATATATGCAACAACAAAAAGATGAGAATATAGTATACCAGGCTACTAAAAATGGTTGTTGATAGCTGGTGAAAGAGGTAGTTTATTTATTTCCCAAGCTTTCCAAAAAAAAAAAAAACCAAGGGGAATTAAAACCTTAGAAATAAAAGGAATAGTATTTTTTCATATCCATATATTCTAAATCTCATTCTTGACCTTTTCTAATAGCTACCCATGTCATTTTTTTCTCCTTTGAACTTCTATACTCAGGGTTTCTAACATAAAACTTAGTGCCTGAATATACACCAGTAAGCAATCTATTCCATCATCAGTTTCTTCTCCCCAGGTGGTCTGCGAACTTTCAGAGGAAACAAACAAAAGCTGTCTCCTTTTCTTTCTAACAAATGTTGGAACAACCTAGCCCTGCCCCAGGCACCCAAAATATACAAGTGGCTGAACTAGGTTGCTCTGAAGTAAGATTCACGAGAAAGGCAAAGATATCCTATCAGACACATGTGAACTGGGACTGGGAAGGTCTTACCGCCATAACACACTTGGGGCATCGCCAGACACCCTTGGGAATCTCAGGTAAAGGAGGGAGCAGGCAAAAGATGTGGTAGTTATCATCACAGCCATCACAAAGCAGGAGCTTGTCATCTTCATCCCCTCGTGAACACATTCGGCATACATATGACTCAATCTGTCAAGGAAGGGAGGCAAACGGTTACCTACCTACCCTTTCCAGACTTCAAATATCAGGCTCTTATATAATGCTCTAGTCCACAGAAATCTCCATCAGAAACCTGCTATATTTGCTGGCTGGACTATTTATGACTTTGCATAGGTAGTCATAGTTGGTCTGGAGTTTAACTTCATTAACATACTCTCTGTGAATTCTGTATCCTCATCTTTATTAATTCAATAACTCACTGAACACTTATGTCTTCAATACTCTGTAGTACAATGATGAATAAGATTTAGTATTTGATGGGAGCAATAGCTCAAAGGGCTAGCATGTTTTGCATATGGGATGATCAGGTTCAATTCCCACAATCACTTATGGTTCCCCAAGCAGTCCCTGGAGTAACTCCCATGAGCAGAGCCATGAGCAGTCTCTGAGCACTGCCAAGTAAAACCCAAAAAACAAAAAGAATTTTTTTAAAACCACAGGATATCTTTCTTCTAAACATTACTCAAAAAACACACAGTCATATAAATTTCTTTTCATTGTTGGGCCATACCCGGCAATGCTCAGGGCTTACTCCCAGCTCTAGACTCAGGCATCACTGTGGCAGTGCTCAGAGAATCAGATAGGATGCTGGGGATTGAACTCAAGTTTAGGTTGTGTGCAAAGCAAGCATTTTACCCGCTGTACTATCTCTCCAGTCCCTGTTCATGAAAATTTAAGGGCAGTATGGAAACCACCAAAAGCAGCTATCACAGTAGTGTGGGAGCCCAGAAAAGCAAATCATCTGAAGGTAAAGAGGGAAAGGTTTGAGGAAGGAATTCATTGAACTGACTGAAACCTAAAGCGGTGGGGCAGAAGAAAACTCTTCCAGGCAGAGAAACAGCATGTGAAAGGATGGAGGAAAGAAAGAATGGCACATCTCAGGATAAAAATGAACATACCTACAAGTAATTCAGTGTGGTTATAGCAGAGGAGTGAGGTGGGCAGTGCCGGGGAATGAGGCTAGAGGTCAGCAGGCACTGGATCATGCATGGTAATGAGAATTTTAGCCTTTATCCTGGAGAGTCTCCTTCTCTAGACCCTTTCAGCACTTCATGTTGACAGTACTTGATCACCCTTTCTTGTTCTTTGTTCCATGTGGGTTGGCTTTGTTTCCCCTATTAAATAAGCTACCTGAGGGTAGGGCCCACCAGGCCCATTTCTCTGCTTAATGCAACCTCATCCCAGTGCCATACTGGGGAGATGCTTGTTGAAGGAATGAGAAGCAGAACATTAGGAAGTCAGGGCTAGGTCCTTACAAACTGGGCATTGCTGTGGTTCCTCCGCAGCCTCATGGTCATCTTGGTGCAGGGCTCTGGGCTGTGACTCAGCTCCTCCTTGCTCTCCAGGAAGGTCTTGGGTGAGGCTGACTCCACTTTCATCTCGCCACCTAATTCCTCCTTCACGACTACAGTAGGGGGACACTCAGGCCCGTCCTTATCTAAGAGAGAGAAAAATGGCTCTAACTGATAGTCAGGACCCTTCCTCCTCTTCCAAGGTAAGGCCACCCTTCAAACTGTCCCAATCTGTCAGGTCTTACCTTTCTTCCGCAGATTCTTATCTTTGGCCATGAGACCCAGGCCCATCATCTTGGGGCCTGCCCCATAAATCTGTAACTTCTTCAACTCTGGATTCTTTTCAATGTCTTCCTCTGTGGGTTCCGGCTGAGAAAAGGAAAGAAATAAATCAACATTGCCATCTGGGGCAGCCTGTCCTATTCTAAAAGAAAAATAGCTTGTATTATATGTCACTTGAACTCATGCCATGGGCTACGACAGAGGCAGGCCAGGGTAATAACTCAGAGCTGCTTTTGGAGACTGGGGTTAAGTGAGCTCCCTCCTCAACCCTGACTTGGAAAAAATGAGATAGAATCTCAATTTTCACAACTACAAGATAAGAATGTTAATTTCTACCTTATAGTTACAAAGTATTTGAAGGATAAAATACATATAAAAAGAAATCTAATTCTATTTGGCACTAACAATAAACAGCAGTGAATAATATGATCTCCTAAATCACATGCTTCATTCAGTGAGGCTAGGGAAAGTCTCTCTTGTTCTCTAATAGTCCCAGTGCCTTAAAGAATGCCTGGCACATAAACTTCTGCCTGAAGCTAGCATACAGATGTACGAAGAAAGAAGAGTTCTAACCTTTGAGCAAATTAAGTCAGGCAAGCAAGCAAGATTGGCAGGTTATTGTATGAAAAGTTATTGTATGAAAAGACCAAGACTCAGCTTAGAGTTAAGCTGAGAGTAGACAAAAGAGCAAAAGTGAAGCTAGAGAGAGGCACATTAATGCTTAGGAGAACCCAGAGAAACTGAGAGAATGAAGAATAGAACAAGAAACAATATCTTGGCCAAAATGTAGGAGAGGAGTCTCTCCATCTCCAAAGCTCTAAATTAGAAGGGAAGTACTTACATCAGGCTGCAGTCTCTTGGCCCGCCGGCCGTAGCTGTTAAACTTGGAAGGCTGCACAGACTGCCGAAGAGGGATGCTGTGGGGTTTGTATTCCTTGTCTTTCTCCTCATTATCAAACGGACGTGTATTGCACTGCTGGGGGCAGGTGAGGAGTAAGGGGTCAGGATATGGGGACCAGTCCCCAATAGTAAGAATGTCTCTCTACAATCTCTCAATAAAAAACAAATCTGTGGTTCTACCCCCCTTGGCCCTTTAATCCAACCAAAAGATAGGCCCTGTCCAACTGCTGTTACAACTGATACCAGCAGACACTTTGAGAATTGTTCTCTTGCCTATGCTTATTATACCCTCTTAACCATCTTTCCCAAAACCATCACCCCCACTAAATCATATTTCATGTCTTCCCAGATCTTTCCCCTTCTGAATTCCTCTATAAATGAAAACCTTGTAACAAAAAAAACAGCAGGCTATCCCACGGATAACTCTAGTACCTCTGACTCTGAGTAGTGTGGGAAGAAAATAAATACCATTAGAAAAGGATCGAGTTGTGGGACCTAAAAGATAGTACAGCAGGTAAGGTGTTTGCCTTGCACGTGGTCAACATGGTCTCCCAAGCACAACCAGGAGTGATTCCTGAGTGCAGAGCCAGGAATAGGCCCTGAACACTGTCAGGTATAGCCCCCAAACAAAAACAACAAAAAGGGTTGAGTGTGGATCCCGGGTTTCCAGTCCACTGAGCCAGTTTCACTGAAAGCAAGTGTGGAAATCTGAATCTGGGAGGAAGCTTCCTTCCACCCAAGTCTGGCATCCTTACCACCAGGTTGGCTCCAGATTGGTACATCTCATAGGGATAAACGATGCGTTCATAGTGGGAGCGTAGCAAGGAGCCAATATTTTTGCCTGGTGGGTAATTGAGGCGTTGGGCCACCCGGGCCCACCGACGGTCCTTGCAGATGGCTTCATAGCCACCTTCCTCCACCACGATCTGCAAGTAGAAGTAGAAAGGAATATGAATGTGCTGTGTGTGTACACATGAGAAAGTAGACCTGAGAAAGGGCAATGAATAGTTTCACTGGGGGCTTACCCCTCCTCCCACCACAACCACTCACAATCAAATCTCAATAAGAGATGCCAAAAAGTTCTATCATAGCTTTTGTGTTATCAGGCTGTGCACTTCTATTACAGCTTAGAGGTCCAGTATCTAAACCAAGTGAGTTCCCAGAAAACCAAGAGTATTAGGGTGTAGGTGGGAATGGATTTAAGAAAAAACTATTCTTACTTTGCTGAGGCTGTAGAGGTCCAAAATCCGCCGTTCTACATTGGGAATCTTTAAGGAGGAGCCTTGGATTTCCCAGAACTTGGCAATCTGGTCCAAGTAGTTCAGTTTCACTCTTGTCTGGGCCTAAAGAAGACAGACTCAAAAAAGCTGTCCCCCCTTCCATGTGGCCTCTGTGGTTCTGGTCTAATCTTATGGGAGGTCAAAGGATACAGAACAGTCCAATCTCAGTCTCTCAACTGAATCCCTAACTCCAGGTAGTGTTAAGCCCACTTCTGTCTTATCTTTGTCTTCTAATCAACAGGATAAGTCCAAGGTCCCAAAGCAGAGAGGATCAAGTCATAACAGTCAAAGCTTTACATACATAAACTTTCATTCTCCCCGACAAAAATGCGTATCACTATCTTTTCCAAAGCCACAGTTTCCTCAAGCAGGTACTAAGAGATTGGAGGTCAAATGACTGAAATTTTAGCTTTTCCTTTGCTACTAACAGACTGTATAGCTTTGAATAAGTCAGTCTACTCTCTGGACCCATTTTCTAATTATAACAGAAAAAATAACTACCCAATCCACTTACTCCAGAGGGTAAACTTATCAGAGGAATAGTAAAGGCCCTCTGGAAATTCCAAGGGTATATCAAAGCTCTAGGAATATTTCAGAGAAAAAAGGCTCTAAAAGAGCACCACTGCTTATGCACCATAAAAACTTGTTTCTGTGATGCCTGAAGTGTGATAGAGAGACAAAATGGTCTAAAGAAATAAAAGACAGTATGCTAAATCAGCACTGGTGAACTCTAGACCCGACATAGGCCAAAGATCCTAGAAATTTGGCATGTACTGTGCTTCCTCAGACGCTCAGTGACCAAAGGATTTTCCAATGCACCAAGCCCACAACAACTTGACTAGGACTCAATCACAAGTCCATAATCACCCATAGACCCTGTTTCTAGAAAGAATTAGACTTTACCATTTACTACATTGCTCTGATCTTATTAGGGAAACAAGGAGGATTCTTTACATTTCATAAAGTGAGGAACACTATGATACACTTAAGAAACCGATGGCTCCTTAGCTGTGAGAGCCCCTAAGAGGCAAGGAACACTACTCCATATATAACACATTAGCTTTTCCAACCTTCAACTCATCTCTATACTTTTCCCTCATTAGCTACCACTGTATCTCTAGAAAAGCTGCCCTAACCCCATCCTAGGTATACCGTGCACTAGCTAAACCTCATTCAATTCACTTCTCTAAGGAACTTGTACCTGCCACAAGATAATTTTTGCCTTGACCCAAAAAGCACCTTGTCTGATTCTAGAACAGTAGTTCACAATGAGGGGTGATTTTTGTTCCAAGAAACATTTAGCAATGCCAATATGCTGAACTGCAAAATGTGAAGCATGAAAGCTGATAAATATCTTATAATGTACAGGATCACCCTCTATGATAAAAAAGTTATCTGGCAGGGGCCAGAGTGATAGTGTAGTGGATAAAGCGCCTGCTTCCCATGTGGCAGACCTGGGTTCAATCCTCAGAATCCCATATGGTCCCCTGAGCACCACCAAAAGTGATTCCTGACTGCAGAGCCAGGAGTAACCCCTAAGCATCGCCAGGCGTGACCGCAAAACCTGAAAAAAAACATTTGGTTTGGGGTCAAACAAATAGTTCAGTGGGTAGTTCTCTTGACCTGCACATGGCCAACCCAGGTTCAATCCCTGGCACCCCATAAGGTACCCAGAGCCTGCCCGGAAAGATTCCTGAATGCAGAGCCAGGAATAAACCCTGAACACCGTCAGGTGTGGCTCCCAAACAAACAAAAGTTATCCAGCCCAAAATGTCAATAGTTCTTTGGTTAAGGAATTGTGATCTGGAACAATATTTCTCAAACCAGGGTCATATGGCTCCCTTTGGGTCCCCAGGATACTTCCAAGGGAGTACCCAGTAGGACAGGGAGCCAAAGGAAGGATGCACGTTGGAAGGAGGCCATGGATGAAAAAAAGATATAGAAATTGGTCCAGGAGAATGAGTTAGGCGTAGTACTTAACCCTCCCTCCCTGTTCCTGAACAACCACTAAGGCTTATGAATAAACAGCAAGGAAAAGGACTGTTAGCTTACATCTAACCTACATCTTTCATGGGAAACTCCAGGCCCTTACCTAGGACACCATTACCTCAGGACTTTTATTATCAAGGAAGCCATGACTGGCAAGCTCAGGGACCACCAAGAAGACACCCAATGATGCTGGTGGAGGCACAGAATACCTGGTATTGAATTCAATGCCTCCCTCTACCACTTGAGCCACATTCTCAGATTCTTTTCCCCAATTGATGTTGGGGCGACACCTGGAGGTGTTCAGGGGGCCATGCAGTGTCAAGGATCAAACTAGGGGCCTCACACATGCAAGACACATGGTTCTACTACTGTGTAGGACCTGATCAGTCACCCTGCCCTAGATTTTCAAAAGTCCTTAGAGGAGAACCTTTCTTATGCATGCAAAGGGCCTGGACTTCCTATACACAGCAAAAAAGAGAGGGAAAAAGCCTACCTGCCTGAGCCTCTACCAGCCCAACTTTGTAATCAACCTATCCGTCATTGAACTAATTCTTGTATTGTCCCTGTTCATCCACCTCATCTCCCACACTACCAACTACCACAGAAGGAAGGCACAGGGCTGTGGATAAATAGATGAGGCCACATTCAGTTGGCCAAGCAAGAAAGGACCTCAGCCAGTCCTATTTTCCCTTTTGCTGACATAAGTAGGGTAGGTCAGTTGAAAGGAACTTCAGTATTATTAAATCTCTGTGGGAAAGTAACACCCCCAGCATTAGAGATGCCAAATGCCCCTGCTCTTTGTTATAATCAAAGCTCTAAAGCTTCTTCCATGTCCTTCATATAATTTTAAGAAGAGATAATAAAGGCCTAGTTAGGTAAAGTGCCTTAACTAGAGAAGGTATGAGGGTAGTGGAATGATCCTGCTTAGGTACCACTCTTCCAACCTAGCCACCAGCTGTCAGTCTTCTCACCTCTAGTTCATTCAGCCTCTGAATCCGAGGAGTAAACCTGAAATTGTCCACTTCTACAGCAAAAGGTGGCTGCCAATCCTGGAGGCAAGGGGTTAGGGGGAGACAAGAAAAAAGGAATTGGGTTACTATGGTATAGTGTAGTAACAGAGGGAACCAAAAACAGTTCAGCAGACCATTCACTCCTTTGCAGACCTGTAAACCTGACAAAGACCCAACCCACCACCCACTCAAAACAGATAATTGGCTGTCCACATCCAAAGATCCGTGCATATGCCCTGAAAAACTTCAGACTCTCCTAAAATTTCAGTACAAGGATTTGAAAAATTAGGGAAATAGAACCTGAAACATTTGACTCCAAAATCTCATCAAATCCACGTGAAGTCCTCATCCCCAACGCATGTGCTAGAGAACAGAGTCTTGGGAATACTAATCTTGGAAAGCACATAGGAACGGGAGCCAAAGCCCGAAATTCATGTCCTAGCCCCAATACTTACAAGCTATAAGATTTTTTCTTTTGCATTTTGGGTCACACCCGCAATGCACAGGGGCTACTCCTGGCTCTGCACTCAGGAGTTACTCCTGGCAGTGCTCAGGGGACCATATGGGATGCTGGGGATCGAACCCGGATCGGCTGCATGCAAGGCAAACGCCCTACCCGCTGTGCTATCTCTCCAGCCCCACAAGCTACAGGATTTTAACTTTGTGAACCCGTTTTCTCATCTGCAAAGTGGAAAGAGAAATTTTGTGTTTTGGGCCACATTCGACTGTACTCAAGGATCACTTCTGGAAGGGCTCTGGGGACAATATGAAGTGCCAGAGATTGAATCCAGGTCAGCTGCATGCAAGGCCGCCCTGCTGAACCATCTCTCCAAACCAGAAGATGAATTCTTGCCCTGGCTTTCTAACAAGACAGATTAGAAAACTAACAACCCAGCACATTCTGGGTCTAATTCTGGCAGAATTCAAAGTATTCATCTTTAATGTCTGCCCTGTTTAAAGGGTCTGAGCCAGACACCCCAGGGAAAAGCTAGAATAGGGAGCAAGAATCAACAGGCTTCCGATTAGTCCTCTCTCATATACCAGCCCAGTAGAGCAAGAGGAGCAGAGGGAAGCAAAGGGCAAGAGAAGATAGGAATTTGAACTGCTGGGATGCCCAACTGTGGCAAGCAAAAAAAATGGAGGACTTAGGAAGGACATGGGATATTCGGGGAAAATAATCAAAGTGTTGGACTTAAATCTCATTCTGTTCTACCCAAAGGGTGATCTACGCCGAGCTTTTCCCCTCAAGGCCTCCCACAAAGCCCTCTCTTTCCCATAGCTTTGGCTCCTGCTGAGGTGGTAAAAAGAAACTATACTAACCACCACAAAGGTCCTTATTTTACAAATGGATACAGTGAAACTAGAATAATGATTTCTTCAAAATCATGTAACAAATTAGTGGTTACATTTAGAGTTCACACCTTCTAACCTCTGGTTCAAGACTCTGTATTCTACTGGAGTCTATATATACATACAACATACACACACGCACAAACGCACACAGAGAGACTAAAACCGTTGGCTTTTTTGCATGATTACTTTTAGAAAAAAGGCCAGAAAGACTCATACTTGAATGCACACATCACACTATTCCTCCCCTCCCTATACCCCAAAAGAAGCAGGGCACAAACACCTGGAACTCAGTGAGTATATGTGGGTTACACACTGTTACACTGTCCTCCCTTCTTCATCGATTTGCTCGAGTGGGCCCAGTAATGTCTTCATTTTTGAGACTTGTTACTGTGTTTGGCATATGGCATATGCTACGGGTAGCTTTTCAGGCTTTGTTGTGCGGGCGAGATACTCTCGGTAGCTTGCCAGGCTCTCCAAGAAGGGTGGAGGAATTGAACCCAGCTCGGCCGGGCTGGCTATGCACAAGGCTACGCCCTACCTGCTGTGCTATCGCTCCAGCCCAAGTATATGTGGGTGGGGGTATTAAATTAAAATGGAAAAGTTCAAACCCACACACGCTCCCCAGGTCCTCTGATCTCCCATCAAGTAGCACACTTGAGCCAGGTATGGTTTTCAAACCCAAAACTTTAGGCACCCTCTTTTTCTGCTGAATCAAGTTCTAGATAAGAATAAATGCAAGGATAGTACAGCAGGTAGGGCTTTTGCCTTGCACACGGCCGACCTAGGTTCGATTCCCAGCATCCCATATGGTCCCTTGAGTACCACTAGGAGTAATTCCTGAGTGCAAAGTCAGGAGTAATCCCTGTGTATCGCCTGTGTGACCCAAAAAGCCAAAAAAAGAAAAAAAAGACTAAGTGCAAGACCAAGCAACCTCACAGGAGATGGCAAAGCTAAAATCATAGAGCCAGAGCTGTGGGTGTGACAGATAGCTGGGTAAGGCCCAGAAAAACTTTTGTGCCTGGCTCTCCATGAAACCTATGAGCTTCCCCATCCTACCTTCAGTCACTTCCTACCGTGTCAAATACTATGTCAATATTATCAGGATGGTGATAAAGAGATAAGGTTACCTGGTAAAGAAAGTAAGGCTCTTCCAAGGTCCCCCAGGTCTACTCCGATACATCAATATTCTCCTACCCGTCTTCCCTGTGAGTAGCAGTCTCCTGTTCAGCAATTCAGAACACGATTCCTTTCTTCTGACAAAGCTCCAATTTACAAGCACCCGCCCATATATATCCCATACACATATGGGTTCCCACTCTGGTTCAAGCACTACTTGAGTGAAGTCTTCAAAATCCATCTAAAAGGCCCAGATGCCTAAAGGTGGCCCAGGAAAAGTGGCCTTCAACCTCTAGTTCACAGGTGTAGAATGGTTCAAAACCAGTAGTCTATTGCTTTGGTTATTACTGCCGGTCTGTGGACCAGTATGCAGGAGAGATGTCAGTTCACAGGTGTAAAAAGGTTAAAGAATGCTGGCCTAGGAACAGTTATATAAAAAGAAAACATCCAACCCAGAAACAGTTCAGTCTCTTGGATTAGAGGGAAGAAAAAGAATCAAAATAAACAATAGATCCTGCAGAACAAACACAGACAGACACAGACAAGGACACACAGACACAAGCGTATGCGTCACTTTCCCCCTTCCTGGTCCTACAAGAAAGGGTAAAACCAGCACAAAGCCAGACTGTCTAGATTAGCCTAAGACAGAAAAATAGAAATTTAGGTTCAACTATCTCTATCTCTATCCACCCACACCCGCCTCACCCCCACCCCACCCCCACACTCCCTTCTCCCAAGTCAGACAAGCCTCTTTCCCACAGGTCTGTCAGAGCACTTCAGGGAGTGCTTCCTTGAAAACAGCCTAGGACTCCAGTCTCTCCTTTTGCTAGCCTTTCTGACCTCTCGCTACCCACTGCCACTCCCTCACCATGGACAAGGATACCTTAGAGATCTGTGGCCAGGCTCCAACAAGGAAGAAATCAGCTTACCCAATACCTCCCAGAGGATCCATTTGAAACCAGCTAGATCTGTGGCTGAGCAACAGAAAACACTCAGTAAGGAAGCCTGCAGCGCCCTCCTCAGGTGGCAGTTGAGTCTTCCCATTCCCTTTCAACCCACTAAATATGCCCTCTTACAGACAAATTCAATTCTTGATCCTGGAATCCCAAGTGGTAAGTGAACAACACATAGTTCTCTTCCATGTCAGCAAAACAGCAGCCTATCCTAGCCTTTGGGGGCAGCCTTTTCCTGGCTTGAAGCCAGGCCTAGGAGCAAAGACATCATTTATGCCCTTTGTTGCTGACCTCTCGGGATCAAATGCTCTATAAGAATACTTTCAGAACCTCTCAAGTTTCAATCTGTTTCTGGGAGTTCAAGATATTTTTCTTCTAGGAACTTGCTACATTTGATTTGCAGAGTAGAAATCTCCTTAACATCTCATACCCCAACCCCAAGCTGACTGGTCCAAACCTCTTTATATGGGAAGAAAAGATCCTGACATTGTCTTCAACTAAGAAAACAGGGAATAATTCGCTGAACTCATCTCAAGGGAGCCAGAGAGATAGAACATTCCCTGTGCGACTTATTTCCGGACTGGTCTACTGACCTGGCAGGGTGTGAGTAAATATGAGTCAACTCACATAGGGGCAAACGAATGACCACATCAAACATCTTCATAGTCACAATAATTACCACTTAGCTACTGCCTGCAACTTACAGACGCTACCTGTTAATCCAATTCTCGAAAGATCCATTCATGGGATCCATTTCACCAGTTTAGCAATTACATTACTTGTCCAAGGTCACACAGCTGGTAAGCTGTAGAGTGGAGTTTGTAACTCAGATCTGCCTCCCTCCAGAGCTGGGATCTTTCTATTACACCACACTGCCAGCTTTAAGAGCAGCGATGACAGCAGATGGGGGAAAGGCTTTATTTAGTGCCTTGCCCCAGGTGTTAACTAAGAAAGGCTTTGTGACTCTTCCCCTGCTCAGTAAGAATCCCGGTCTGCAACCTCACCCAGAGTGATTCTGTAGCGCGGGGTGAGGAGGAAGGAGGTGAGGGGGGTGGGAGACAGAAGAGGGTTCTCTGCCTTCAAGTCACATGGGGACCTCCACCAGAGGACCCCTGGCCTCAGCATCCTCTCTCCAACCCTCGCCGTATTCACAACGATCCCAGCCATTCCCATTTCCCACACTTTAAGCTTTCTCCACCTCAGGCTTTGCTCCGCCAGCTACCCTAGTTCTTCATCCCCGCCCTCGTGCCGGCGACCAAGGTCCCCACGCTTACCGCGGGTGGGCGGATCTTGCAGATGCCGGACTTCTCTGCGATGGGCCGGATTTTCGCGATGTAGCCAAGAGGGTCTCGGAACTCAGCCCAGCTGGGCTCGAACACCGGGCACTCCGGCGGCGGGAGGAAGTCGTCGGACCCCGGCTCCATGGTGCGCCCTTAAGGATTCATGGCGGCCGCCTCTGTATGAAGCCCAGGCACTGCTTGGAAACTAGGCCCTAAACGGAGCAGCCGACGCCCGCCAGAGGGCCCAGGGGGCGTGCGGTCGTCACGCACTGAGAGGCTCAGGCTAGCACAGTTGCTACCGCTTCTTCGCCCTATTCCATTCGTCCCAGTATCAACCGGTGCCTACCAACTACCGCAGCCTTTACCACCACAGCTCGCTCCCGATAACCACGGCCTTCAGCGCCGCCGCCGCCATCTTGGTTTGTCAGCGTCTCCCACCCCCCCTTCCACTTTCTCACCACAACAAACCGAATCCCTCCGCGGGGTGTTCCTCCGAGTCTCGTATACCTTGGAGTGAAGCTAAACCCTACGAAGCCTTCTTCCCGTTGGAATCGAGCTGAATAGGCTGGTGTAGGTTCCCTATTTGGAAGCGGAAACTCAAAGGCACCTCTCAGACTAAAAACAAATAGTCCACTCCAGCGGCGGAAGAGCAAGTTAGCAATTAAATATCGGATCCCTTTTCCGGGTGGACCGACGCTGCACGTTTAAAGGCCAGTGCTACGCATGCGCATTGTGAAACCGACCGGAAGAGGAGCTGGCGTTGGTGGCTGGTGGGCTCACACTGGCACATCCCCCCTCCACCCCCCAACCCCCCGCCAACGATGACCTCAGCTCTGTGAGAGCCCCGCCCCAACAGCCTCTCCCTTTTCTACCGGTCTTTCCTGTGAGGGCCACGGAAGGTGGCTTCAGGTTCTTAATTATGAGCGGCTCTTTGTGCTGGAGTACCGCTTAAGGGAAAAATACTGGGTTCCCAGCGTTCAAAGATGACACATCTGGGACTTTAAACGAAGGAAGGCGGGAGACTCCCCCCACTCCCCCTGGGATATGGATTTTTAGACTCCTGAGTTCCAAGAAAAGGAAGGAAATATTTATTTAATTCAGTTTTATTCATAGAGATGGAACTTCCATTCTTACCCCCAAAGTGTCATCGTCAGTCAATACTTAATGAACACTTAAAACTGTTTTGTATGCACTTTAGCGTGCATATTTGTGGCATTTATTCTCTCAAATTAAGCACATATATATATATATACACACACGCACACTATTGGGTGTTTAGCAACTGTGCTTATCAATATATGAAAATCTGACATACTTATCAAACGTATATATTTGATTGTAATTACTGTATATTACACCCTGTCATATGTTTTTAAATATCTACCTACTATGTGGACATCTACTGCTATTGTGATATACTTTGAGCAGTTTCTGAATAGGTTTATTGAAACTATAAATCAGTATCAAATAGTATTTTACCCATACATAAGGTAGATACTGCATTCAAGGATCACCTCTGTTCCTCATCAGTTGTGGGCCTACTACAAATTTTAAACACTGTATACTGATTAGAATATTTGTGTATACTTATAAATGCTTATTTTGTGTTTCCCCATTAGGCTATGAATTCCTTAAAGTCAGGGTCCTTGTGACCATTTGGTATGGTTCACAATTAATGTTGAGAAAACAAAAGAAAGGTTCATTCATATATTTAGCATTCTTCATATTGACTGAAAATAATGTATGCGTTCTTCAAACATTTCCTGTGCATATAAACTTGGTTGATTATGCTTGATGGAGATGGAGTATCATGCCTTCATATAGTTAATTGTTCCTTATCATACATTGTATCCAGTTAGGTACATCACGCTTCCTCTTTTAGGACTAAACTAAGGACACCTTTTCTGAGGGAGTAGGTCACATTGATAAGAATTCACACCCTGGGATCAGAGAGGCTGACTTCTAAGTATCCTGGGCATGTCCCAGCTTCTGAAACTAAAATGGAGATGATAATACCTGCCTTGCAGAATTGGTATGCAGTACCTGGTACTTGGAAGACCCTCAAAATCTGTTAACTTATTTTTATTTCTGCGAGCTAACAGTCAATGTGTCAAAATATATTAAAATTTTCCTTTGTGTCCATGAGCCCATATATTTAATGAAATATAATTTTATTTTATTACCCTGAATGTTTAGAATCTTTATCCTAGTTGTCTTGTGAGGAAAATTGTCCCAATTAATATAAATTCTCAGTGACACCTTGCTAGTTTTCTAGGTGTCTGAAGAAACCTTAGTCATTCCCCATCAGAAACAAGGTGAATGACCCAACTGAACAACTGTCCAGGAAACAGAAGGAAATAGACAAGGTTGTGTATATTACAGTAAAATCATGAGCTCTTCACATGTATAATCTTCTCAGTCCAGTCCAGTCCATAATTCTCATGGCCTTCATTGATGTCCTTAGCTCAAACACCTACAGAATTCCCATAGCCTTCATTGATGTCCTTAGCTCAAACACCTAAGGACAGATGGAAGGGCAAATGGAAACTATACAGAGTATTTGAAGCAGTAAAAGTCAATTCTTCACAAATATTAAATTCCTACTATGCATTAAGCACTTTTCAGGAATCTGGCTATATTGTAGTGACCAAGGCATATATGGCTCCATCTGACATTGACCATTGAGATATGCCAAGTACCTCATCATCCTGAGCCCTGATTTTCTCATTCACCAAATGAGGATAAATAAGCTCTTCTTCTCAGGTTGTTACAAAGATTAGAGATAATGATGACTACCATTCATCAAGGGCTAGGTGCTATGAAAACAGTATTGTTATTACTGTTTTACAAATGAGGAGATTGAAGCTAGGAAGCTTAAATTTACCCATAACATAACTAGTAAGTGGCAAAGTCAGAATTCAAATCAAAACCATGTCTGTCTGAGTATGCCCTGCAGCCACCTCCCATCCCTCACAGAAAGTTGTTCAAGAAACAAGTTCCTTTACCAAGTTTCTGATCTTGCTGGGAACAAACCTGAATATGAACAGAGCAAGGTTAAAAAATGGGAAGCATTAGGGAGTTCACTCTGGACTGGAGACTTGAGATGGCCTGGGTAAAGGTCTTAGTGGAGCTGGTAGAGAGCTGTTCTGGAAGGTGTGGCTGGGTTCTTGATCACACTCACCCCATTACTGTTTTCTGCATGAGAGGAACTCTGTATCACTCTTTTTATTTGGAAAATAGGACCCCTTTTAGTTCTGATGAGCTGTGAGTTCTGTCACTTACATAGATCTGCCATCCATCCACTTTTACCCATGCCATTTACTACTTTCTCTGAGAAACATTTACTGCCTGTAGGCCAGATTAAAAGAGCCTCCTCAAATTACCAAGACATCTGTGTGAACTCCTGGTTCTGTATATGGTGTATGTTCTGTATATGGTGTATGGTGGATGGTGGAGAGAAAAGTAAATGTCTGTTTTGTGCTTAATACATAACTATAAAATGATATATTTTAAACAATGAATTAGGCATAGTAAGAGATTAACAATAGTAACTAAAATAATAAAGTAGAGCCATTATAATCATGTGCACTGTAATGAAAGTTATGAGTATGGTATCACTTTGTCTAAAAATATACTATGGAACATAATACTGACCAGGTGGCCGAGTGTAACTGAAACCTTAAAACAGGAGGAGACTGCATAGTGTATCACTACAAAGTACTCATTAATTTCAAAGGGGGAAAGAGTAACTTATGACTTAGCCTAATGTCTTTAGTAAATCCACGTCTTTAGCTCCTCCTGAGACCAGGTTGAGAAAACCTGTTACCAAAGAGGAATGAACAAGCATTGCAGCTATGCCATGCTGTTGCCTGGGCTGCTCTCTCTCATTCTTTGCTCACTATTCAACCAACAGCATGGCCATACATACCTACAGGCCTTTGCACAAGCTGTTCCCTCTGACAAATGCCTTCTGTGAAGGGCTATTTTCTATTCACCCTTCAAGAAAGTTAAAGGAAAATTTCCAGAATCTGCTCCCTGACCCCTCTGCCCCACCACATGTCAAATTTTTCCCTGCATCGCACCCCCATATAGGCTGTGCTTCCTTCTGTGCCTGTATTTATTACATGGCCATATTATCCCTGACAGGCTATTTGTGAAGATCTTGTTCTGCACTATCCAGTATGGTTATTTAAATTAAAAATTCCAGGCCTTCAGTTATACCAGTCACATTTCAAGTACTCAGTGGAACAGTGCAGATAAAGGGCATTTTCATCATCACAGATGGACCTATTGGACAGCACTGTCCAATGATAAGAATTCTGTGAGATTCTAAGACCTTAGTCCTTTGACCTCTGTTATGTGTTGTCCTTCATCATCCACATTTCCAAAGAGATTGCCAGTAGAATCCTTAATTTAAAGGTAACCAAAAAAAAGATATCCAACCATTGTCTTTAGGTCCTTAAAAAGTAGGGAGAGAAGGAGCCACAATACTTCCAGAATCTGGAAGATGAGCCTTCTGGGAGGATGTAGGGTAAGAACAGCCTAGTATTGGGGGCAGCAGTAAAGATGAAGAAGAGAAATTAAGAGCTGGAGAAAGCATGAAGAGGTCCCAGAATGGAGCAAAAGCTTGGTACGTGGGTTGCATTAATCAACAAATGCAAAGAATTACTTTAAGACTAAGGGATCTTGGGCCAGAGTAATAGTATAGCAGGTAGGGCAATTGTCTTGCACATGGCCTACCTGGCTTCCATCCCTGGCATCCCAGATGGTCCCCTGAGCTCTGCCAGGAGTAAGTCCTGAGTGCAGAGTCAAGAGTAACATATGAGTACCACCAGGTGTGGCCCAAAAAGAAATAAATAGGGGCCGGAGCAATAGCACAGCCGGTAGGGCATTTGCCTTGCACACGGCCGACCTGGGTTCGATTCCCAGCATCCCATATGGTCCCCCAAGCACTGCCAGGGGTGATTCCTGAATGCAAAGCCAGGAGTAACCCCTGAGCATCGCCGGGTGTGACCCAAAAAGCAAAAAAAAAAAAGAAAGAAAGAAAAACTCATCTTTCTTGGACAGGAGAAATAGCTCATAGACCAGGGGTTAAAGCACTTGCCTTGCACATGGCTGACCCTGGTGCAATTCCAATTACTTCATTTGGTTCCCCCCCCCCCCCTTGGAGAGCCCGGCAAGCTACTGAGAGTATCTTGCCCGCACGGCAGAGCCTGGCAAGCTCCCCGTGACGTATTCGATATGCCAGATACAGTAACAACAAAGTCTCCAATGGAGACGTTACTGGGCCCGCTCGAGCAAATCATTTGGTCCCCCAAGCCCAGCCAAGAGTGATCCCTGATTACAGAGCCAGAAGAAGCTCCTGAGCACTGCCAGGTGTG